TATAAATACAAGTTCAAGACACTTGAAGAATTGTTAGAACACCTATCCAAACATTCAAACACAAGAGAAAAGTTTTCAAATCTCATTTTATCTCTCTTGTAAATATTAGTGTTTTAGTGAGCTAAATTTGTAAACACCCTACCTTTGAGAGGTTTTATTGTTTATTTTTTTTTACCTTTTGTAAAAGCGTATTGGTTCTATCTTAGCAAAGTAAAAAGATAGGGGGTGTAAATGTTATCTCTAATATTTTAAAAAGAAAGAACAAATTAGTGAATTTGTTAGAAAATCATTGGTAAGGAGCTAAGGTAGTTGAGATAAACTTAATTGAGAAATCAAACCATTATAAATCGATGTGCAAATCTTTCTATCTTTTATCTCTCCTTACTCCCTAAACAAATTATTGTCAATTCATCATCTTACAATTTTTTCGGTTGTCAATTAGAGCTCCCGCAAATTCTAATAATTATTTTTGGGTTTTGAGTGTTCGTACAACTAAAAATATGTACCTAAGATTTTTAGATTTATAAGTGTCTTTATACGTACTATGACACAATTAGAGTGTGTTGTACGTCTCTTGCGATCTCTTTCCTATTTTGACGTCGATGGTGAAATTTTATGATCACTTTTATATTTTGATGCCGGCAATAAATTTTATTTTTGTCTGTGATTTGTTTTTGAAAAATAATTTCATGTAGAATATAGGTATGTTCTTACACAACGGATTAGTCGTTATTATCAGTAACATTATATAATATAATGAATTTATCATTGTAAAATACGGATTGTTGGTTCACCTTTTGCATTTTGGGTTGTTGGTTCAAGTTTCAACAGCAATTCCCATGTTACCCGAAGCAGAAGTTGGTAAAACTTGAAGCCTAAGCAAAATGTGGCTTTTCCCCCTTACTTGGGGCAGAAAAAACATGTAATACTCTCTTATTGATACAGATGATTCAATTCGATCTGGGGTGTTACATTAGGGTCACCAAAACGATTCAGACTGAAAATCATGGAAAAATATAAAATTTGTGTTAATCCATTTAAAAATGTAAAATAATTTATAGATAAAATAAAATTCAGAAAATCATTTATATATTAAAAATAGAATTCAACAATATCCAGTAATAAAATAAGTTTTAGACTCGAATATCAAAACATAATACAACCTTCATGACTCCTAATTACATGCACCGTACTCCGCAAGCAACATCGGTGGAACTCCTTTACTGATTTCGGTAAAAGCACAGGATCAAACTCTTTAACCTGAAATGATAATTAACAGAGTGAGCTTTGGAATAGGTCATTGGATATATGGTATAGCATAACTTTCCTTAGCGGGTCATACATCATCAGATTCTAGCGGTGAATTCAGATTCCATTAGCTAGGTCTTTAGTTACAAACAAGAATTTACAGTCTGAATGAAATATTCAGAGAGACAGATTCAGAAGATTGGATTGGGGAGTATAGTATGTTCCAACAAAACAAAGAAATGTGTACAGATCCTTTAAAAAAAATAGTAGTTTAAAACATATTTTAAAACCATAATAATACCCTTCAACCGAACACTGATATGCAGTTATAAGAACTGCATCCATAAGGACTTACCCTAAGTCCATTGGGCGTAGGAGCCAATCTAAGGGAGTATCTTGGGGCCTGAGAGCCTGCCTAATGGAGTACTTTAGGGCCTAAGAGCCTACCCAATGAAATATCTTGGGGCCTTAGAGCCTACCCAAGGAAATGTTTGGGGCCTTAGAGCCTACCCAAGGTCACCTTAGGTTTATAAGGAATTACCAGCTTGATCAGATCTGAACCTCCATACTAAAAAATCCTACCCATACAGTATCCCAATTATCGGTTCATACAGTAAACAGTAGATTTCATGATCCATAAATCAGGAACGATAATATTTTCCAGTGAAAACATGTAACCAGAGAACACATATCATGTAGCCATAGTTCATAAAAAGTAAATCAAAATATCGAGCAGTTAAAAGTTTCAATAATATTACTAACTTCGGTAAATCACATTTCAGGACAGATAAAATAATCATATAGCACATAGGGAACACACTAGAGGATCCAGTTATTTTTCGGAGGTACTTAGCAATTATAAAGTGGAGAAAACACTAAACTTTTGCAAACTGATTGAATTTTAGAAATGATACCCCTATACAAAGGGGGTTTGATAGCTAACAGATTCATCAATCATTCGGGAAGTGATTTATCATGATCATACAGTATTCTGGTATATCATCACGATATTCAGGAATTATTGCATCAAAATTTATTTAGGATTAAGACATTCCTAAAGTGGTTCCATCAACCAGGCTTATAAGGGCATTTTTTTCATTTAATTCCTGAGAAATTTAATAAATCCATTTAATAAGGGTATGCAACGTTTTACAGAATTCCAATCGCAATGTACAATTCCCAGAAAATGTGACACTTATCAATTATGTAGGTAGATAAACTTCACGAATATTCATTTCTTAAAATTGGTTGCACTACATAATCAAATTGATCACCTGCAGACCCATCTTTGGATGGATCATGAGGAGACAAACATGTATTTAAGTAGTATTTATTTACTTTCCATGCTGTAATAGTATTAGGGATGATCGACCTACTTATGTCGTACCATAAAACCTCAAGGGCGTTACATCATTTAAAGCTTCACTGGTATCTTCAGAAGTTATCCAAAAGCATTTGTTTAATCCAAGTCATGAGGATATTTAGATCATTCTGGTATTTGAGGTAGATTTATTCATTCTAGAGCTTAAGGTATTCAGTTATTCCAAGGCTTGGGGTATTTTAGGTTATTTCACACTTCAGGGGTATTTTGGTCATTTTATAGTTTAAGACTATTTCAATCATTTCCTTCAGTCCAGTTTTTCTATTTAATTCAAACTTGTCGTTTATTTTTAGTTATTTCAAACAATTCAGACATCAAAAGTACTTTCATGGTGTTAGTCTTTAAGTACCTACTCAGAAATTGGTAATTCTAGGTTTTGAGTCTTTACGAAAGTTATGAACTGATTATCAATGATTCTCCGAAAAAATCATGAAATTAACAGGTGAATCAATAATTTTATCAGGTTGAAAACCAATTCTCATGTCAAATCCACTTGCAAGAGCAATTCCATGTCATTTTTACATCTCACGGGTAATTTTGTAATTTTTTATCTGGGTATTTTTTGTATTACAACTTTTAACATGAATAATCAGAATTTAAGGTTTATGCGGTTAATCGCTGCACTAATTAATCACTGAACTAGGAATTATTTATTACCAGACTTCTAATTTTTTATAGAGTCATCTGAGTCTTATTAATTTACATACTTTTTACATATCGAGTTTAGAGATGATTAACTACATACATGTGATAAAATATATTCATCAATAAATTAACTAATATCAACATATTCCATAAAGCATGAAAAATGTAGTAATGTATTATCTCGATTTTTGAGCCACATCGATTAACCAATTAAACTTTATTTAATCACCCTCGAACTTTAATTCCATGTCACATAATGTCTCTGATACATGACCAAACCAATTACATTAGAAATGAAACTTAAACGTGAAAATTCGTATTGAATTGGGAGATAAAATACCGAAAACAACTTATTGAGTTCGAATATGGAAAATGAACTTTTAATTCGAACTTAGGACGTTGAAAAAAATAAAATATGACTTTTTTAGAATTTTTGGTCAAAGTTAATGGTCAAACCGGTCAAAGTCAAAGTTAACGAATCTGGTCAACAGGCATGTCAATGGTCATGTCAAAATCAACGAGTCAGACCAGTTCATGTTGCTCATGTCGGTTCGGGTTGACTCAGTTTAGTCCGAGTTAACTTAAACCGGTTCAAGTTGACTTGAACCGATTCTATGATGTTCTAAGGCCGGGAAGGGACCCCACGTGTACGCGACAGTGTGTGACGGCAACAACGGGATCGGAGGTTGCATCTGATTACACCAAACATGCCAAAACACCAAAATAAGTCCATAACTACTCAAAATTTCAGCCAAAGCAACATTAAAGTAAACAAAAATTGAATAAAAAAAATTACCCACAGGGGCCGAAGATCGAGCGATGATCAGGCGGCAATAACGATTGGTTTTTGATCAAAATACCACAAGGATCTCAATGGAGTGAGCGGTGAGGCGAACAGATAACAGGATTGGTCAGAATCATTAAAAATAGTATGACGATGATGGGTTTTCCGTTGAAGCTTTGGATGAGCTTTCCACGTGGAACGGTAGTGGTTCACGATGCATGGCCGATCGAGATTTGATTAGGTTTTGATGATGTGTCGACTGGTTCGGACGGTGTCGATCGTCAACGTTTGGAGGCGTACATCGAAGATAGAAAGTGAAGAACGTTTCTCTTAATCTTTCCGATGAAGGGTGGCCTGAGCGAGCGAATAGATGGTCGGAGTTTGCTCGAAAGGTGACGACGAAGCCAACGATGATGGCAGTGACGATCATCGCTAGTCAGGAGAGGCTGAACAGAGGGGCAGTAAGTAACAGCTGAAGTGATTCTGTTGGGAAAACTTTCATAGGGTTATGGTTTTTATTCCTAATGGGAAAGATGATTTCAGCGTTTAGAATCATATTTAGATATAAGGATATTTTTATTATTTTACCCTAGCCCATGTCATGGCACGTGGGTTCAAAACCCATCAGCAACACCCTTTCTTTTACGTTTGCTTTTTTTCCCCAACCAACATGAGAGGGGCAAACTAAGGGTTGAGCCCTGAACTTCTAAGGATTTTGAAAATTACCTTAAAATTTCCAAACTTCACATATTGATATCCAAAAATTAATTAAATAAACTTAAATTAAAAGCAATGTAAAATTAAGGGTGTTACAAAACATATACCTTTTGTAAGTGAAGTGTTAGCCATAAAAAACAAACAAACAAACTCAAGTCTCAACCAAATAGTAATCTTTCCTCTTAGCACCATTAATCATTTTTCAAAGCTAATATGAACATTACCTTCAGATAGAAAAATTGTAAGTTAACTGAAAAGTGCAAGATTAACCATGTACACTGAATTCTTGAGGCATGCCAGCTCAAAGAAGGGTTCGAAAAAGAACGAAACAAGGATTCGAACCAGTGAAAGAATAGGCGAAGGAAGAGCTTTACTATAAAATACACTAGAACCACATATTATAATCGAAGAAAAATTACTCTCATTTTGGTACCCTCCAACCCAAGGGAAGTCTCCACTTCCCATGCCAATATATCGACACCCTTGACCATGATGGAAATCCGAAATTGAACTCAAGGGGCCGATTGGGAAGGCCGCCAACTATTAAAGGTAGCCACACATACCTTGAGTCCCTTAATTCAGCTGGATTCCACCGATCTGCCATAAAAATATATGAACCTGGAATGCCTGGCAAAGGAATCACAAATGTACTTTGTGCAAAAAAAGTCGCAAGTCGAAACATTTTGTTCCCTCCAATGCACGGGTTTCCCATTGTCTCCCATGGCCCCATGATCGACTCCGCAGCATGTGCCAGTGCTTCATTCGGTGCCCATCCAGAGCAACCCGATGTTATCATGTAATAAGTCCCTTGGTACTTAAAAAGAGCTGGGGCTTCCCGGCGTTGTCCAACCAGAATCCTTTGCATATCGGGTTGCACATCTAGATAATCATCGGTTAGTGGTCTGATGTGAAGTTCACTATTGTCCTGAGATGAATAAATTAGATATGCTACACCATCATCGTCCTTGAAAATGGTCATGTCTCTGCTGTCAAATCCATGGGGCCTTCGGCCACGGAGATACTCAAAGGGACCTGTCGGGTAATCACTTATGGCAACGCCAACAGCAGCTTTAGTGTAGTTGGCATCGTCGATATGCATCCACATTACATACTTTCCTGTCCTCTCATTGTAAACAACTTTTGGCCGCTCCAACACATTGGATTTGTGGAGATCATGAGTTTCATTCGTCTGTTCCGCAGCCAAAACAATTCCTCGGTTTTTCCAAGTCCACAAATCCTTGGAAGAATAGCAACCTACTCCTATAATGTCAACCTGATAACAACAATTCAATGGGAACTTCTTAAAACTAAATTATGTACCGGATTATGCATTCAAAATAGTACACTTACTCGTGCTGCACCCTTCTTATGTGCATGGTAGGTGAGTCCATCTTTGTATTCTCCATACCAATAGTATGTACCTGATCTTTCATCATATAGCATACCACCTCCATGAGCTTGAATAGGATTTCCTTCAGTGTCCAACCAAATTTCCCCTGGATGGTAGTAGTGGCTTTCATTTGCTGCTTCTTTCACCGGATCTATAGCAGTTTTCACATCCGGAAAGAATACACGCCGAAGCTGGGAATTCTCATCAAGAAATTCATCAATCAGATTGATTGGTTGCTTGTGTTGACGTTTAGCAGCGTGTGGAGATCGTTTCTTCCTAGGAGGGGGGACTTGAATATTCTCCTCCTCCACCTGTTCAAGTTCCCGGACAAGTGGATGACGATTCACATGCAATTCGATATCCCCTTTCACTGCACTTCTGTGGGTAGCAAGAGAGTACAGTTGGAGCATAAGAAGGAACCCCACCAAGCTCCACACCAAAGCAGACTTGGAGCATCTGCACCCTGCATTGCAAAGGAAAGCAGTTGGTTTCCCGTTTTGGCATTAAGAAAATGCAACATATAGAGATCCCAAAATCAGAACAAACATTAATTGCAACCTTACTCATCTTATCTTATCTCTCAATTCCATCAACATTTAAGTACAAAAACCTTGAAAACAATACGATCCATCGATTAGGATAGACTGAGAATCAATAGCAGCCTAGTGCAGAACATTGTCAAAATGCAACCTTTTAGGATTAGTATAGACAATTATCAACTCCTAATCGAAAATGAAAAGGGTTCAACGTGAAATAACATATGTATATTGCATTAACCTTTTCAGCATGCACCATACACTAATCTTAAAACAACATCAGATACAGTTTGACAAAAATATACAAACAACAAATTTAAGTTCAGCATCAAATATTAGTGCACACAAAGCTTTTACATCATTATCACCTCCGAAATTAATAATCAACTGTAAATGTAAAAGCTAAAATCCACAGAAATTGCAAAAAAAAAATGAACTTAGCAGATAACTATTAATACCCAGATAAAGAAGAAAACATACCTGACAAAACTCTAGGAAGATTCCCAGTCCCAGATATTGGCATCTCTACTTTGCCCTTTCTTCAAAGTTCCAAAATACAAAACCAGCAAATGGTAGTCAGCTAAAAAAACCGACTTCACACAGTTTCCAACAATCTTAATAAATATAATGGAAAATAGTAAAGGAGTAAAACTTTGACAAGAAGAAGAAGAAGACAAAGTGAGGAGAAGTATGATAATCGAAGATAAGTTCTAATGAAGATTTCTATGAAGATGATTATGACTTTTGAACAAATATTTTTTTTTCTTTCTTTATCTCGTTCAATCTATCAATTATCTATTTTTGTTTCATTGCTCCTATCTCTTTGTGCTGAGCTTTGGAACTTCGGCCTTATTTGGTTATGTGTATTTTACTCTTTCCTGTGACTTCCTTTCTACTTTCCAGGCTATTCCTTTATCCAAATCAAATGTTAGATATTTAATGATATTTTTTAGACAACTTGTTAACATTTTGTTCTTGCGGATGATGCTTTTATTTTATTAGTGAATAATGAGGCCTTTGCTATTGTTAAGACAACTTGTTAACATTTTGTTCTTGCAGATGATGCTATTATATCACATCTTTATTTTATTTTATTTTTCAATAAATCTGTTTTGTATAACATGTTTTTTACTATTTTCTGGCACATTTTTATCGTTTGCTAATTGTTTTCACTTATCTTTTTCTAGAGGTTGATTTGCCATCATCACAACTGATTAAGATGATGCTTATCTACTATATTATTGATTTTCCCTTCTTTGGAGCTTCATATTGGATGTGGATACATGTTATTCATTTGTGGATAGCTCTTCACATCGCTTGAATTCGATTTATTGTTCGTCGGTAGCCTTTCAGTAGCTTGAACCTCTTTTGTGGTTCATTTACCGATACAATCAGATTTGTTTATATCTATCTTTGCTCGAGTTTCTTGACTAGATTTTACTCTTTCCTTGTATGGTACTTATGTGATCTTAAGTTGTTAATTATGTTTTAATGATTATAAAAAATTATCTTAATTATGGGCTTAATTTACGACTATGATTGTAAATATTTATTGTAATTTAGAATATTTTCTATTTTAAATAAAATTTGTGAATTTTATAAAACAAAATAAAAAAAATATAGGATACAAGATTTTAAAAAATATTTCTAGTTTTCTTTTAAAAATGTTTATATAGTTTTTTTTGTCATTTGAGACTATAGTTTAAGTGTCAACATTTCTTTTGTTTTTATTTTATTTTTTCTTGTTTAATTTTTTTATTTCAGATCTAAATAAGCATCCTCCTTGTTTTAATTTCGTTCTTTTCGTATATTCTTAATATCTTTTTGTCTACTTTTATGACACATTTGTTTCTTTGTTTTTAGGCATGGTTTTCTCTATCGTTATGGTAGTTTGTCATTTTGTATTGCTTTCATCACAACACATCTCCTTATTAAGAAAGATCGACGATCTTTCATAATTAGATCTCTTTTGTGATAGTTTATCGATAAATTTTGAATCATTCACAGAGTAATATGTAAGATTGGTTATCTCAATTTCAATACCTATATTAATATTGTGTCTAGGTTAGATTAGAGACAAAAAAAAGTTATTGATAATTGCTAGATTTTTGTTTAAGATGAAATATAAATTTTTTATTTCATTTTTCTTTACACCTTTTGGGTTTGAAAATTTGTTGTCTTTGTTGTACCTTATTTTCTTTTTTAATGAAAATATGATTTTGTTTAGAAAAAATACATAAACTACATCAGATATTCACTTAACTTCAAGCATTGTATTGTTTATATCGTTAAATTTTAATTTCGTCAATTATAATATTAAATTTTAATTTCTGTTTTAATTATCCATTCAACCATTAATCATTAGCGACATGATAATATAATTGACGGTTGTCAACATGAATGCAACACCTGACGTTGTTTTACTCTAGTTGTTTTATTGCCCTTTATTAGGGGGGAAATATCTTGAATTAAACATTTTAGAGAATTGAAACTCCAGCTCCTTGGATACATTAATGTAATATTTATATTATACATTAATACATAATATTACATTTTTATATATTAATAATATTTTTAATATATTTTTTATAATTAATATTTTAATATTTGTATCTAATTATAATTAATCTCAAATGTAGTTGATATCTATATTAATTTTGTTAAAAATAATTAAAATTCAAGTTGGCCTAATGATTAAGGTATAGATATTTTTCTCTGTAAAGGTTAGAGTTTAAATCCCTCCAAACACATACTTTAAAACAACTTTCATCCAATAAAAGTATGTTGTTTTGGATGTTTTAGGTATTAAACTAGTCAGACTAAAACAATATATTACCTAAAGTTTTAATATTATTGATGAGGATTTTAAATTAGGTATCCTTAAATATTGGTCATCAATACTTATACAAAATATCAATACATATATTTAAATATGAGCTTATTGTATGGTGTGCAAGGACGTGCAAATATTTATAATTAAATATACAAAATGTGTCCAACCTATATCCTTTTTTCCAACGTTTTTTTCGTTTTAGTTTTGTGCCTAACGTTTCATTCCGTAACTCAAAATGGGTCACGCCGTGACGGACCGTTAAGTTTGACCGTTAACCCATTAAAAATGCCATGTGGCATATTTTTTTATATTAAAAAAAATTTTGCAAATAAAAAATAATTTTTGCAAATAAAAAATAAATTAAAATGAAAAAATGTTTTAATAGGGAAAAACCAATTACCCAGGCTGGTCAAAGGAACCAGAACCCCCCGATTTTTTGTGTTTTCATCAGGCATCTTCGACTGCCATAAAAGTGCCATGTCACTGCTAATGGCCTCAGCAACGACTGGAGACCCAACCTCGGTACTCAAATCGCCTAATTTGGTCGTTGTTGCGTCTTAATCGCAAGGAGAGCTTTCGGCTGCCAATAGTTGATCCCCCGTCCGATCGCCGTTGAAGTACACCGCCCACCTTGGTCAAACCGCAACTTCGCTCTGATTGCAACCTAATTGGTCACTCGCCGATTGGTCGCGTCATTCACCGGGACTGAGCAATTAAAGTTTCGCCGAGAATCTTGTCCGACGCGTCATTTCCGATCGATTATTTTTTTTCATTTTAATTTATTTTTTATTTGTGATTGCTATCTGTGGTTCCAGTTTCTGGCTTTGCTAACACTTAATTTGGGTTTTCTGTTTCATTTATTTTGTAATTAGAGCTTGAGCTTGTTTTATCCTTGTTCAATTGCTAGATCTTGTGTATGTTCGAGTGTAAAATTGTATTGTGTTTTTTCAGGGTGAAATGCCACATGATTTCAGTGTTCGTTGGGGATGAGAGTGGAATCATAAATAGGATTACGGGAATGTTTTCCCGAAGAGGATACAACGTCGAGTCCCTTGTTGTTGGTCTCAACAAGGATAAGGCTATGTTTACTATCGTCGTCTTCGGAACCAAAAAGGTTCTCCGACAAGTGGTTGAGCAACTGAACTAGGGTTGGACTGTAGTGGAGAGTGAAGGAGAAAGGGAAAAATTATTTAGGCATTAAAATGTTTATTTTTTCATTTTAATTTAATTTTTATTTGTAAAAATTATTTTTTAATATTAAAAAATATGCCACGTGGCTTTTTTAATGCACGTGGCTTTTTTAATGGGTTAACAGCCAAACTTAACGGTCTGTCACAGCGTGACCCATTTTGAGTTACAGAATGAAACGTTAGGCACCAAACTAGAACGAAACGTTAGGCACCAAACTAGAACGAAAAAAACGTTAGGCACTGAACTGGAAAAATGGGTATAGATTGGGCACATTTTGTATACTTAACCCTTTTTTAAAAATAATATTTTTATTTTTAGTAATTTATTTTTATATTTATTTTCTAAATATTTTAGTATTTTTTATTTTTATAAATATTTAAACAAAGTCTTAAACTTTCTAAAAAAATAATTTGACCCTTAAACTCATCTAAAAAAACAATTTAGCTATTTTACAATGTCATCGTTCACAGTGGTGTCATCGTTCACAGTGGGTCAATACGTTAATACTGTAGATCGCCAAGTCAACATCGTAACGACGAAGGTTTTGTTTTGTTAGTTAAAGGGCCAACTTATTTTTTTAATTTAAAGGTTACATGAAGTGTAAAAGTGTTTAAGTATCATATTGGTTTTTAAAAAAAAAACTTTAAGGCTTTAGATACCAATAAACCTTTTTTAGTATATTTTATATTAGAGTAATGTACACAAATGGTCTTACGATTATATGACACTACTTTATAGAGACCTCTAACTATTAAAAGTTACAAAATAATTGTAACACACACAGACCGATGCGGGTGGCCCGATCCGATCTAAGGTGTAACATTAGGGCCACCGGAGTTATCCACAGTAAAAATTCAAGAAAAATTAAAATTTATGTTAAAACGTGTAAAATCATAAAATAATTTATGAATAAAAATACAAGTTTAGAAAACCATTCATATATTACAAACAAAATTAAAATCATACAAGTTCCAGACTCAATATATAAAAAATCAAATGTGACCTACATGCCCCCTAATTACACATTATACCGTACTATGCAAGCAAAGCCGAAGGAACTCCCAATATTGAAGTTGTTAGTTGCACTGTATCGATTCTTTTAACCTGAAATAGTGAGTAAAGAGTGAGCTTTGGGAAGCTCAGTAATACAGAACTACCAGATGGATACAATATGCCATTAGGTATAAGTAAAACATGAATTTTCTTAACGATACAGACATCATCAGGTTCTACCGACGAGCTCATATTTCATTAATCATTTCTTCAGGTAATAGTAGGGAAATCAAAATCTGAAGGAAATATTCAGAAAGAGAAATTCAGGATATTGAGATGAAGATCTAGTGTGTTACATCTAAACCATAATAAATGTAATCATAGTTTAAAAATAATAGTAGTTTATTTCAGTAAAACATGTTTTAAAATCACTGTAATACCCTCCCCGGAATACTCCATATGCAGTCCCCCAAAACTGCATCCACAAGGACTTACCCTAAGCACACAACAAAGGAGCCACCCTAAGGGAGTACATTGGGGCCTATGGGCCTACCCAAGGGTCTCCTTAGGTCCGTAAAGATATACCAGCTTGATCAGAGCTAAACCTCCGTACTCCAGACTCCTACCAATATAGTATCTAGTAGAATTCAGATTGAGAAATAACTTTAATATCAAAATCATGATACAGTATAACGTTGTAAAAATAACAATGTAGTTATTTAAATCACATAAATGCCTCAACTCG